CACCCCACTCCCAAACGAAAAAACCCCCACCTCCGTACCGTCGTTTCCCAGCTTACTACAAAACTTACGCACATTGTTTTTCAGTGAACGAAAGTGAACGTGGGAGATAGAGAAGTAAGACCTCAATAATTCATGGCAGCCTCCGCTACCGTTAATGTACATCAGTGCTTCATGCCAACCATGGTCATATCAGCTCGGCAACAAAACCTTGTTCCTTTTAGCTAGTCCGCGGTTAAACCGGGATAAAAACAAATCGCTCCATTTAATCTTCTCAGGTCTTTGCATGAGGGTTCTAAATCTAAACGCCTATCAATGAAGGCCACTGCAAAATAAGGTTCCGACACGTTTTCTTTGATGTCGTCCAAAATCGGGGTGAAAATAGTTAAACAGTGATTTTTTTTACTACACCTAGAAAATCAAAAAGTTGACCGATTTTTATGAATACCATACTTTAACGCTCGTCAATGAAACCTGGTCCGACAGACTGGTGAGTACTTCTTGAGACGAACCTAGTGGTCTCTGATGCCTAGATGATCTTGGGTTGGGGGGGGGGGTTAGGGGGGTGGAGGAGACTATGTCATTACACTGAAATGTGAGGGGCTAGGTGGTATCATTGTCTCAAAAATGACCAATTTGTAGGCTACGTTACTGTAAAACCATTTATTGTAGTTTAAGTATAAGTGATTCTGTGTATGTACTCAAAAGGCGGTGTCTAAAAAAAGGTCCAAAATAGAGAAACTTTTAATAATTAGTGGATCAAGATTTTTAAAGATATAAAAAGAATTGATCGCTGGCCAACAGGAGAGCCATGCAAAGTTTCATGCGTGTTGATAAACTGATGAATGGTCTTGACTTTTTGTGGGGGGTTTTAAGCGTGGGCAGACAAAAATGAACACACTGTAGCGGTGATTTTGAGTGGCGGTGGGAATCACCTGGGTAGTGACAAGTACCATTTAACGCCCGTTTGGAAAGGCAAGTTAGTTGGCGGTACGTGAATTTCTGCCTCTCAAAGATTCCAAAATATAACACAGGCTATAGAAATATTAAAACAGTTATCAAGAACAGATCTTCACATTCAAAAGCACCGCAAAGTTGGGGAAAGATATATGGTATAAAAAGTACGACCCCCCCCTCTCCCTTTCCCTCTCTTCATCACACACACACATTCAATTGTTCAATGCATTCACATGTGCACGCTCGTAGGCGTCTCCAGATTTGCACACACGCGCATACACACACAAAACAACTAAAACACATACACACGGGAACCCACATGCGCGCCCGCGCACACACTCATACACACTTACACACACATTGTTCGGTGCTCCGTGTTTGGTGTAATTTCCAGCGCATAATGAAACAAGGTCAGCAGAGTCGGATCGGATCGAGTTGACTGAATGGCGGCGCCTGTGCACACACGGTATCTAATTAACCATGTAGTTTTGCTTCATTTAACTTGATCCGGAAGACCATTAGAGCGTAAAGCTTTCCGCATACAAACAGAAAAATCTGACGCCGCTGTGCATAAGACAAGAAGGCAACTCTCTCTGATTGGCTGTGTTCATCAAATGTATCGAACGCATCAAATGATGTCCATAAAATCAAACAGAATGACATTCTCCCCCCCCCCTCCCCTCCCGATCGTAAAGGGGAAAAAACTGACCACCCTTACAACTACTGTACAACATAATGTATCAAATAAAGATTTGAGGAAATTTACAGTTCAGTACACGTACAGTGTGCTTTGGGAAGGCCCTATTACAATGGACGCTGACTAAACATTACATTATAACGGGACCGACGTGACATTTCTGTTATACTAATAGCTGCATCCTGTCATTAAAAGTTGGGATCAAATTACTCAAATGCTGTAAGTAATCATTGCCGAATGGGGTCATTTTAATTACATAGATTACCAACTGCCAATTCGTCAGTTATTGCTCCTTTAAAAATAACACGTGTCTTCTCTTCTCATCTTTTTCTAGTACATTTGTATCTGCCTTAGAATCTAATTAATCTTCTGGGGGTTGTCGAAACACCGTTGGTATTTGAGATGCACACGGGCACAGCATGTTATGTCCGCTTCTAATCGAACAGTTGGGAAAAAGAACACACACACACACACACACACACACACACACACACACACACACACACACACGAGTACTTTGACATAGAACACTGATAGATCAAGCGCCCTGTGTTTGGTGCATTTTAAAAAAAGGCGTTCTTCCGAAATTTGAATTCTAATTTATCAATTTATCAAAAAAACAAGCCGTATCACTTTGATTTTTTTCACACAAATAGGGTCGATTGGCACCAAAAATGAAGAAAAAAAAGTGTTTTGTCAGCTTAGGGCAGTACTTTCAATTAGTCTTATCCCCGTTATAGTCTGCCACCCGAGTTGGAGGTTTGAGTTGGAGGGTAGTTTGCTCCTTATTTCGTACCAAACATCTGTCTTCCTAATCCTTATCTCTCCTTTTCCTTTTTGCGTTTATTTCTCTCTTATAACACATCTAATCTTCAGCACTTATAGGCCTACTTATATGAACTAATTGTGTTGTAAAATGCCTGAATCCTGAATGTGAAAGCTCTTACAAAATCAACAGTGACGATGTAGTGCCAGGCCAAGGTCACAGTAAGTTTGAGACTTGAGTAAGCCACTGATTGGATACATATATATATATTATTTACATCAACACAAAAGTCCATCCAACTTTTCCCCTTCTCTCCTGCTCACACGTTAAATGACACGCCTTAAAATTATTTGTAGTTGTAGATTACACATTCAGTTTAATTAATGGGCCGATTTATTTTAATCAGTCATAATACTTTCTAAAATCTGAACATTTTTCTAAAATGAAGCTGTGTTACTGTTTTAGTTTTGATTTCACTGGGCTTAGACAGATTGTTGTGTGTATACTTGAATGACGTTTTGGGCGGGTCATCAATCACCGATGTCTTGGGTAGGCCCTACTGTGTAACCTGCATTGTGTATGTGGAGATCAGGCAAACAATGAACAACACGTTTGTAATACATCTGAATCTATAGTTCCCTTTCGTCTGTCGGCATAATAAATTCTAGTTAATTTATTAATTTACATATACTATGTACATGAAACTGT